AGCTCCATTACGCCATTACTGGCAGTTGAACTTCCCTCTTGTACTTGAATTTGAATATGAGTAACCGTTGAAGATATGTCATCTTGCATCCCGTTATTGATCTAGTGTTACTCAGATCATGTGAGGATCAATATTTATTGTCACGTGTACGATCAGGATTAAAGGCTTGAATAACCTTCCTTTATTACCCTTACTCTACCACGTGTCGAACTGTAACTGACTTTTACAAAATATGTAGCCAACAAGAGTACTAAAGCAATTTTCAATCTTTAATGTGGTCTCCTTTGCAAAGACTTGCGCATCACATCGTCTGATCTTATTTTCACCAATCAATAATGTTTGCACATTGTCTTATATATTATTTCATATATCATTATTTCATTTTATCAAAAAGTAAATGTTTTGAAAAACATATAAAACCAATGAATAATCATAATTTCATTGATTTAATAAGTTACACCGCTGTTGTCTGCTATAATTGTAATAGTAACACAACTTATAAAATATGGTAAAATAATATCATCATTATAGTATATTATTTTAACGACACAGTGATAAATAAATAAATAAAAAGTTTAAGGCTGTGTTTGGTAAAAAAATTTAAAATTAATTCCACCCTTATATTCTAATGTTATGTTTGTTTTAAGTTTTCAAATCATGATTTCAAATCAATTTCAAAATACATTTTAAAAATATGTTTGGTAAAACATACAATTTTTGAATTTTTAATCTACCCAGTCGTCTGCCCAAACATCCTTCTAGATGTCCGGCCGGTTGAATGGCCGATTGGCCGAAACAATATATTTTTTTTTCAATTGCCAATCATCACCTATTATTTGAAATATATATATATATATATATATTTGTTTTTGATGTTTTTAAATATAGAAATTATTTTTTTAGACCAAAATGACAAATTATTTTTTAAAATTGAATTTTAAAAATAATTTGGTTATAAATTTCGAATAACATTTTCAATAAAATTTTGAGTTGTATTTAATAAAAGTAAAAATGAGACTAAACATTAGAATATATCAAAATTGTGGAGCTTAAAGCATTTTCACCCAAACCTTCAAAAATTGGTCTGTCAATTTTTTTTGAAAGATTGGATGACAAATTGGTATATATCAATTTTAGATAGAAGTATTCCACCTCATATGTCAAATTTAATATTATATTATTTTGTTGGGTGGATTAAAATTTGACAACTTAAACATGTCAAATTTGACCCGTTAAATTCACACTAAATGCCAACTTATCATTTGATATATCGAGTGAATTTCATTATTTATGTCAAAATTAAACTGTTGCAGTGGCACATAAAATTTGGCATGTCGGGTGTATTTTTTTTAAACCTAGAGGTGGCCAGTATAATTTACCTAAGGTAATAATAAATAGGATAAATTACATTGACATCCCCTGAGATTTGTATTTATTATAGTTCTCCCTCACCTTTTAGAAATTACATCTCCCTCCCTGAGATTTAAAGTTTCATTACAGATTGTTCCCTCCAACAATTTAATTTTTTTAAATACCAATTTTTCCCTCACTGGATAAATTACATTGATACCCCTCACATTTTAGAAATTACAATCCTCTCCCCAAGGTTTAAAGTAGCATTACTAATTGCTTCATCGGTTAGTATTAGTTGGAAAAAAAATCATTGAAAAAAAAATTAATTGGAAAAAAATTTGTTAGTCAAATTTTTAAATTTTTGTTTAAAAACCAACATAAGATAAAAATCACACTGACACCCCTTGAGATTTATGTTTACTACACTTGAAAGATAAAAATTATATAAAAATGATAATTATTTTTTATTTGTTATTTCTTAACCAAATTAATTTTTAATTTTTAAAAAAAATCTAAAAATCAAACCATACATAACTTAAAAATCTTTTGATAAGTCATTTCTTACGTTGATAACTTATTTAATTATTTGTTAATTTTACGACATTTTTACCATCTAAAATCTGTTTGATAATCATTTCGTTTTCACTTTTCAATTTATATTTATAAAAATTTTAAAAACTGTCACAAAAACTTGTTTGATAATTTTTTTAATTTATAAATGATTGTCTTAGTTTGTAAATTTGAGAAAAAAACGTAAATTCAAAAAATGAGTTTATGTTGATTTTTAAATAGAAATTTAAAAATTTAACTAACAAATAATTTTTTTCCCAATTAATTTTGTTTTTCAATGAATTTTTTTTTCAACTAATACTAATTGAGGGAACAATTGATAATACTACTTTAAACCTTGGGGAGGGAATTGTAATTTCAAAAATGTGAGGGGTGTCAATGTAATTTATCCAATGAGGGCAAAATTAGTATTTAAAAAAATTAAATTGCTGGAGGGAGCAATCTGTAATGAAACTTTAAGCCTCAGAGAGAGATGTAATTTTCAAAAGATGAAGAAAGGAACTGTAATAAATATAGATATCAGAGGGTGTCAATGTAATTTACCCTAATAAATAAGGCCAAATTTGGTTATCCTAAATAAGTACACACTTTTTATCTTTTTTCTATCATATTATCTCTCTATTTTTTTACACATCTTTTCATAAAAAAATTAAAAAATACACTTATTTAAGTCATCCCAAAGAACCACTGCGAATGGGAGATGCTTTAACTCGGTGGGTCATTTTATCAAACAGTTTAAAGGCAGAGAAAATCAAGCGGATCAATCATTCACATTTACGCAGAGATATGAGATCGCGTGCTTGACCTCGTCGTCCAATCGGCTTTCCTAGCAATTTAAGGGAGTCATCCCAAGTATCTTCTCTGCTATTTCTTTGTGAGTGTTGGTGTGAATTCGTGCTCGGCTTTGTTGGTACATTCAGAGCTCAGCTTTGTCAAATCACAAAGAAAACACCACAAAGCACACCTTCCTCTCTCTTTCTTCTTCTTTACAAAACCTCACAGCACCTTCTTCCCTCTTTCTTTTCTCTCCCTGTAAGAAACCCTTTGTATGGCTTGATTTATTAATAAGAGAAGGATGAAAAAGAAAAAATATATATTTTGTTTATAAGTTGGGTGAAAAAAAAAAAATTCTTTTATTTCTCAGTAAAATATGTTAATTGATTATAAAATATTTATAAACAAAAAGAAAAATCAATCTTATCCGCCTCTCACATATTTTATTTTCAACAATGCTAGGTAGCTCAAAATTTTGTGACTCAAATGACTCAAATCACTCAAAACGACGTCGTTTTGATAGATTTTGAGTGTAAAACGACGTCGTTTTGAGTGATTTGAGCCATTTGAGCCACAAAATTTTGAGTTACCAAACATTTTCCTTTTATTTTTTTAACTTATTCCTCATAGAGAGTATATTTAATCCTTCACTACATCTTTTATCAAATTTAAATTTGATAAAAATTTTACTCCAGTAAAATGAGATTCAATCTTTTCATCAAATTTGTATCAAATTAAGGGAGAAACAAATTTTTTTATCAAATCAAGAATAAATCAAATCTTTCATTAAATTTTTAAAAAGCTTTTTTCTACTTAAGTTTGATAAAATTGTTAAAAGTTAAAGGATTAGAGCTGGTTTTTTTCACCAATTTTGATGAAAAGTAAAATTTGGGAGAATAAAGTAATTTTTTAAATGATTTTGATAAAAATTTTAATGAAAAGAATTGAGTAGTTGATATCAAATCAAGGTTTTTATTTAAATTTAAAATCAAATTAGATAATAAAAAAAAAATTGACAAATGATTAGAGATACCCTAATGAATACAAACTTCATAAGAAAGAGAATGAGGGATTGCAAGCGTGTTTGTAAATAGGAAGCTCATAACCAGTGGCAGAATCAAAAAATCAAATTAGAAGAGGCATTTATTAACTATAATATTGAAAAATTTTACAAAAATATTTAAAGCAAGTTTTTACGATTGATTTCGAGAAACATAAAAAAAAAATAATGTTATTTATAACTAGTGTATCATGGAAATATAAAAAAATATATATATAAGTCTTAAAATAAATTATATAATGATAAAAAAATTTATACAAAATTTGATTAAAAATTCAATATAATGGTAATACCACGTCATCATTAGTATGCGATATCACCAACTAATAGTAAATAAACACATAGAGAGTGAACCTCACATGTCAAATATAACTAACAATCTAATAAATTTCATAACTTTATAGTAAGATTACTTATACTTGCATGTCAATAATAATGACATCAAAGTTACATTCAAAATTTTTCATAAAATTTTCATAGATGATATAGTTTATAATAGTCTCTTCATTTTCATTCAAGATAACCATTATTGTTCTCATAATTTTTAAAATGTCATTGACATTTTACTCTAATAATATTTTTATAATTTTTTTATTTAAAATATTTTCTTTATATTTACAACAAAACAACAACGCTCAATTAGTACACATGTCTGTTTAGGAGGAGAACGATTGAATACACACCTAACCTTTGACATAGTACACATATGTGTTTAGGAGGAGAACGATTGAATACACACCTAACCTTTAACATAATGCACAAACTAATGGTCCCAAAACTTGAACCCATAACTTTAAGGTTATTAAAAGGTTATTAAGCTAAGTCTTAATCATTGAATCAATAATCACTCTCTTTCTTTATATTTGCAAAAAAAAAAAATTCCCAAGATTCAGAGGGGGGGGGGGCCACGTGACTTCCCTCGTCCCTGGCTGCCTCCGCCACTGCTCATAACTGCAAAATGATCTATAAAACCCAACTCCAATCAAAACCAAGTACACAAATCCTATGAAACACAACAAGTTTGAACCATGTTTTCTCTGTCAAACTTGCGACAATATCTTGCCTTTTGTGTAAGCATGATCCCTTCAATAACAATACCATCAGTTTTATTGACTACCCTAGCAATGCTGGTCGGGACACTACTCCATGAACTCCTGACCATCTCCAAAACACTTATACCGCGGCAAGTCTTTGATAAAATCTTATCCCTCATTCAAAACTTCCATTCCCAGACGCTCTCATCATTGATGAGTACAATGGGCTCTCTGTCGATGAAATGTTCGAGGCATTAGAAATCTACTTCCGCCCAAAAATCAGCCCTTCGGTTGAACGGCTTAAGATATCCAAGGCACCTGGAGATGAGGAAATATGTGTCAGAGTCAACCAAGGCGAAAAGATTATGGATACATTCGAAGGTGTCCAACTCACTTGGCAAATGATAAGTATCGACTCCGAAGAGACAAAGATTGACAACTTTGGCCGCTCTTTCCAAAAAAGGGTTCAGCGTAGATCAATTCAGCTCAAGTTCCACAAGAAATACAGGGAAAAGGTACTAAGCTCTTACTTGCAGCATGTATTGAAGAGGTCAAAAGAAATGAAAGAAGAAAAAAGGGTAATGAAGCTCTACTCAGGTGGTGGAAAATTGGGCCCATCCATCCACTTTCGACATCCAGGAACTTTCGACACATTGGCAATGGATCCAACAAAGAAAAAGGAACTGAGAGATGACTTGGACAGGTTTGTGAAGGGAAGAGACTACTACCAGAGAGTTGGCAAGCCATGGAAACGCGGGTACTTGTTGTACGGTCCCCCAGGCACGGGCAAGTCCAGCCTGATTGCTGCCATGGCTAACTATTTGAAGTTCGACATTATTGACTTGGAGCTCACAAAAATCCGGTACAATTCAGATTTTCAGCAGCTTCTAGTCTCTACTGGAAATCAATCAATTTTGGTGATTGAGGATATTGATTGCAGTATAAAATTTCAGAACCGACAAGATGGAGTATACAAAAATGATGACACGCAGGTGAGTCTGTAGGTTTACTCTCCATTGCACTAACTGCAATAATTTAGCAGATATGATGCATGAAAACAAACCAAACTGCATAATGTTCCTAGAAAAACATATAGTTGTTGAACCTTCAACATTGTAGCAAAACTTCCAACGGCTGTCGAAGTTAGTAGCATATATTGGAGGGACACTGAATCCTCAAAATCCATGTCCCCATATTCGAATGCACTTTCAGTTGCATGATTGTGTTTCGACATATTCACCACATCGTGTGCATTGGGGATATGCGGGGGACAGATTTTATTGATGGGCTTGAAAAACAACATTTTTCTTCTTGCTTGCACGTACCCCAGCTTCACACTTTATTAACTTAAGAACTGTTTCTATTTTCTTATTGACAGTTGACATTGTCAGCGCTTCTTAATTTTATTGATGGTCTCTGGTCAAGTTGTGGTGATGAGAAGATAATTATCTTTACAACCAATCACAAAGACAGACTAGAACCTGCATTGCTGAGACCGGGTCGCATGGACGTGCATATCCACATGTCCTACTGCACTCCTTGTGGGTTTAAGATCCTTGCTTCTAACTACCTTGGCATAAAAGATCACTCCATGTTTCCTGAAATCGAGAAGCTCGTGACAGAGGTGGAGGTAACCCCCGCAGAGATTGCAGAAGAACTCTTGAAAAGTGATGAAGCAGACATAGCCCTTGGAGGACTCAGCAAGTTCATACGCACAAAGAAAACAGAACATGATAAAGCCAATGCTGAAGGGAAACAAGGTCAATGAACAAGCTGAAGAAAGCCCATGAAACAAAGGAGCTGAAAAAGAAAGCGAGGAAAATTAAGAGGAAGGCAAAAAAAGGGGAAGAAGCAGAAGATGAGGTGATGGTGCATCCCTTAGTTATGGTTATTAGCCTATAAATAACAAGTTTCTCACTGTATTATGCCCACTTGGTCTATTCTTGTGTGCTAGCCAAGTAATATTTTATGTAATATTTGCAGGTTCTGATAATTCGCATAAAATCTTTATTAGTGAAGTGAATAATTTCATAATAGATGCAGCAGAGAGACCTTTGTTGAGAAGAGTAGAGTAGACATCCTGAAAAAATGAAACTCGAATGAATATCAAATACAAAACTCAGATAATCAGCCATCTAGAACTTCTGGTTCGGTACCTATTGTGCAAGTTGTTGATACTAAAAGAGAAGACGAGGCCTCACAGAGAGAGTAGAAAATTAGACAAGTCAAACAAAGTTCAGTTGCAACACAATAGACAATTAAAACCGGTAATTGGCATCCTGTCATGAACCTAGAAGTGCACACAGGCACACACCAGGGCTGGCCCTGAGTTCGTCGGCCCTAGGCAAAATCTTAAAAATAGGGGCCCTTGTAGCATTAAAAAAATATATATCCAAAAATTTTATCCCGAAACCAAAATTCAAAGTTAGTGTGATATTTTTGAGTAACTACTCTGGGTATCATTGCATACATAATCCCAAAAAATACAAAATGTAAGTCTGTAAGGCGCATGAGAAACTCGGCACTGATTCCTCTCAGCTAGACATCTCATCGAACACCAAAACTACAAACCTTAATAAACTTACTTAAGCATGAGAACTAGCCACACCAAAAATCGTTACAAGGGCAAAACTAAGTATGGCCATTATCACCAAAACTCACATAAATACCTCACAGAAACTTGAGACATAGAGGAGTTTAGAGAGAACTCACCATTGATTTTTCATTCTTCTGGTCATTTTGTCAAACACCTGGCCTACAACATTCAAACTGGAGAATTGGGCAGGGGCCGCGCGAACGCAGGCCCCCACTAACACAAATTATGACGTAGGCTCCACCAACTTGGGTAGACCTTAGGCGGAGGTCACCAACCTAGGCCATGGGCCTAATTGATCGCCCATTGACCCCGTCCAGGTAAGTATGTTTCAATGTTCCTCGTCTCTCTGTCTTTACTCTACTCCTCTTCCTCTCCTCTTCTACCTGGTTTTCGATGTGGGATACTAAAAATATTTAGCCCATCAAACCTTCTCCTATGCACACAAGACCAAACCCAGATCTTTCTTTCAGATTTTCACACTTCTGTTTTTGGTACAAAGTAAAGGAAGAAAACAGAAAACAAACAAACAGACAACAAAACAAGATCAGAGGAAATTCAGAGGCTAAATCCTCCGATATTCCATTCCAATCATATCTGTAACAATCTGAGTCCTAACAGCAATAGGTGGTTCCTCAACCACCACCTCTCATGTTGGCGAGCTTATCAGCACAGTGGTTGGTTTCATGTGGGATGCGTTGAATGGACCAGTTGCACCTTAGGAACAGGTGCCTTGCATCTTCCACAATGCTTCTGAAGGAGCGGTGTTGAGAAGGACCTTGAGTTAGCAAATCTTCAGCCATGGTTGAGTCTGTCTCAATTATGATTTCTTGGATCACAATGGTAAGGCCTCAATAAATTCCCCGCATCTCAGCTTCAAGGCTATGGCACTCCTCCAACTTGCCATAGAAGCCACGCAGCCAAATGCCTTTTTCATCTCTGAAAACACCTCCAAAGCCACCCTCGCCAGGATCACCTCTAGCACACCCGCCAGTATTCAAATTTTCACTCTTCAAAGTCGGGGAACAATAGGAAGAACAAAATAAATCGCCAGAGCTGCTTTTTTATTTTTTTTTTTTTTTTTTTTTTTATGAGAAGTCTATGTTTAGTGTCCATTTAGTTGCTTGAAATCTGTGTTTTTATAACTTTGCTTCGTTTAGATTGCATCAATTTTTTCATTTGGCATTTGATCTCAAATCCTTGTGTGGACCTTTAGATCTGTATTTATGGATGTCCAAAGAATTTACAATAACAAGTCATTTAAATACTGCTAGATATGCTTCAAAATGTGGATCTTAAAAGCCTTGAATTATAACGTACGAAAACCTACCCAGAATAGGGAGGCAGGCGAAAAGGAAAAAGATCCATCGGTTACAAGGACCTGTACAAATCTTCTTTTCTCTGTGGAACACTACATACATGATATAATGCCCATAAGAACAGGACATAGCAAGAGGAAAAAAGAAAAAAAAGAAAAGGAGATACAAAGTGAAATTTACAACTTTTGATTGTAACATAACAACCCAATCTTCTCAATCTCGCCACTGGTACACTGAAAAGCTCTTGTTCTTTGACCAAAAACTCCAAGCTCTCCCCAACTTTATTTTCGAGATTGACTTCGATAATGGTTTTGATTCCGGATCAGGCATTGCCATGTCGCCACTTTCCGGCAGCTGACGGGTTGTCCGAACCGGCGACGGATCTCGTTGCCGCTGCTCTCGGAACAACATCAAAAGCTTTTGAGCTTTCTGCTTCCCTCTCATAGTCCCATTCACGGAAATCGACACCAATGACGGTATTACCCCTTCTTGGAGGACCATTTGAATGCATTTCTCGCTTCCATTACACAATATCAGAAGGCATGAGGCAGCTTGTTCCTGATCAACAGGCTCACCAACATCTAATACCGTCGCAAGCCCATTAATGAGCCCCAGGGATGATATCATTTCGTCTCTTGCCAACTTACTTGAAGCTAAGTTTATAAAGACGGGTATGCATTTTTCAGTCCACGCTTGGTCACCCGAGTCTGTGACAAGGGATAGTAGTACATTCATGATGCCAGAGGAGAGAAGTTTCGGAATGTTGGAGGGGTGGGTAGAGAGATTAAAGAGGGCATGGAGGGCATCTAGCTTGCATTGGGGATCGGTTTCGGCTCGAAGTAAGTTGATTAAGAAAAGGACGGCTTCACTTGAGCCAATGACAGGCTTGGCTTCATCAAGGCAAGAAAGATTCAGGTAAAGCGCTGTTGCTTCTCCGTGTGAGTTGGATTTGGTAACCAATTCGTCCAGCAATGGAAGTACTCCTGCTGCCAACATCATTTCCTTGTTTCTGAAAGCAAGTTGGATGAATATATAAAATAAAAAAGAAAAAAGAAAAATAAATAAAAAAGAAAAGATTAAAAAAAGGTATTCATTATAGTTACAAAAACATATGCAAGGTCTAAAAGATGCAAAAACCTGTTGCTCCCTAATAAAAGAGGAATACTAACAATGTTCTTCAGGGGAATTTTTTTTTTTTTTTCTTTTACCCCTTTAAGTGGTGCCTACGAGTGAATAATCAGAATTGGAGTCACCTTGTTTTCCCTTTCCCAATACTTGACTTTAGAGGAAAATGAAGAAAAACTTTCTATATCCAATCTGGAGAACAACAATTTTTTTTAAGGCTGTCAAAAGGATAGCATGGGACACTGGGGGACATGCACCCCTTAAAACAACAGAAATGCTAATAAAAGCCAATTTGCCCAATTCATGAGAAGAAGGTTAATTTGCTTCCTTTGATACTTTCTCAGCCAATGATCAAGAATTCCTTGGAAAAGATAAAGAATTACACACCTTCATGAACAGACTTTCATCTAAAACTAATAAAACAATTGTAATCACACGCAAGTAATAAGTACAAATTATCATAAACAAGAGACAAACCTGTTATTGTTAACAGCAAGATTGAAGAGAGCCATGGCTCCAATTCCCTGAGCCATGTCATGCCTCTCCTGCACAGCACACTCTAAAAACCGCAGCAGTGCTTCAACAAAACCATTAGCCCCCATATAAATCCTAGCTTCTTCATCATCCTTTAGCAAGAGCCTTATCTTTTCTACCACAATGCACTTTTTTCCCAAGTCATCCTCTTTGTCCAAGATCATAAAAAACTCATCATATCTTTCAAGCACATTATGCTCAAACTCTTCCTCGTTTACAGGCACATCCTCTGCTTCATTTCCTTCAGCCTCCTCAATTATACAACTCTCCTCTATAGGAACCACCTTTACACCCTTCATGTTGCAGGACCGAATTTTGTCCATTGACTTTGAATTCACAGACTCATTCTCAGACAACACGAGCCTCCAGTAGTTGAGATCTAGAGACTCTGGTGGGCCATCGGGAACAGGAACTCCATTCTGTTCACACCAACTAGCAACAAGACCCTTGACACAGTAATTAGGAGTCAAAGAAAGATGGGGTAGCTGCTGTTGAGTTTTTGGGCAGGTGTTGTGCCCATCACTAAACCATTTTTCAATACAAATCCTTTCATAAGTTTGCCCGGAAGCAATGATGACTGGGTCATACATGAGCTGCAACGATATTGGACACCTCAACTCTTCAGGCGGGAGGGGCATCTGCCCTGATCTCCTGAAGTTTGGCTTGAAATTGAAAGAACCATGTTTTGAGAGTTGTTGCTCGAAGACATGACCAACGCCACCTGGTCCACCGCCATCGTCAAAAGAGCCCTGAACAGTAGGGGAACAAGGTGTTGAACCCTGTGAATCGTTGTCATCTGAGAAGTCACTTCTAAATAGCTTGGAGTATTTTCTCATGAGATGTAAAAGATAAGCCACGATCGACTCCTTCCTCTTGTCTTCCTCAATCCGGGCCTTTTCTATTAGCTTCTTCAGAGCCCTTCTCTCGGTAAGAGCTGTTCTCGAAGATGTGATGCCAAGTTTAGAAGCAGCCTGGTGAAAATATTCAAGCTCATTATTGTCATTACAATTGCTGTTGAATCTCCTCCCTTGCTGGAGAAGTGCAATTATATCGTCACCAATTTGCTTCTCCAATGGATCAAGTGAGAACTCGGTCCCCTCAAGTTCACTTAAAATTTCTGAAATCTGAAATGAATATAGTTACAGTTGAGAGTCAATATCATGTATTTAATAAAATGGCAATAGCTTATAAAAACTAGAAACAATGTCATTACAGAACAATATTAATATTGCCTATTCTACACAATTTCATGCAAATTATTGAACAAAAAATATTTTCCAGTTAGAAAAGAGATGAATCTAATTGAAGAGGAACCACAAATTGCAGTGGAAAAGCGCACAAGGATCATTTGAAGAAATCTTTCAGTTTCAATCACAAACACAAACAAGAAGATAGCCAACAGAATTTAGATTAAAATTACCTGACAGCCAATAGATTGTGGAACAATATCTTTGACTCGCTTAAGACCATCTTCAAGAGCACATCTTGCCTTCTCATATTTTAGAACAACAGAATCCCCGGTTATAGCCTGCATTATAAGGTTGATTCTAATTGTAAAACATTCCTCTAGGAAAGAAAAGAGACTCAAAACCTTTCAACCAGGTCAAATGAAGCACAAATGTTATATTTTGTGGCCAAACCATGATTTCACATTGATTACATCAAATGCAAATCAGTAAAAGACATCAACCTATAAACAACAGAAATTCTATCATGTATCCTTATGGGATATAAACGCTTATCAAACTAATCATTGACCCACAATTTTTTAAGGGACCACTAAATGACTACGGGACAAAACCTAAAAGGCCATTACCTAGTGTTATCCAATGTGGGAGATGTTGGAACTCGGAAGGGATAGACTGAACACAGTCCTAACCTTGGGCATTATACACACCTTGTGACTTCCCTAAGGCTTAAACTCGTAGGTTATCAACAAAGTAATAAAACATAACAATAGAGCTACTTCAATTTATTTTGAACACATAGCCACTGAGCCAAAAGATTAGAAACCATTAACAAAAGAGTAAACAATTCCCAAGTGGAAAGCCCATTTTAGTAGTGGGAAACATCATTACTGCATAAACAAAATATATTCAAAAAAAGGGAGATATCATACCAAGTAAAGTTTACTACATTCACAGCAATGTTGAAGAACATTCTTGGTCTTCTCGAGCGCAATGTGCAGAGAACATAGTGCCTGGATACCTGTTGTGCTCCGAGGCCGTGATGCTTCCAGAACAGGGAAAATTCCTAGCACTCTGCAATAAATTGCAGACATTGTCTTGCACATTCCTCCATGCAACTGCATTTAGCAACCACACATTTGTCAAGCCCTCAACCCTCAATTAACAGAAGCTGTGAGCAAACTCAAATGCTACGCCAGAAAATCAGAACCATTTTTGCTCACAAGGACAACAAATTTTCAACTCGTGTTATAAGTCAAATGTTCACCAAATACCTAGCCTAACACTATTTGGATTGTGAGGTGACAAAAGAAATAAATGATTTTAGTTTCTCACCTTCTTGTTTGAATGAACGATGAATAAAACTTAACTTCTGAAGGATTTCTCCTTCTCACCATTTCTCTTCCTTTCTCACCGTTTCTCACCTCTTTAATAATCCAAACAAGTCATGAGAAATTTCATTCTCTCCATTTCTTTTACATTCTCACTAAACCCTTCAATCCAAAAGGAGTGTAAAACATTTTCCATATATATATATATGTGTGTGTGTGTGTGTGTGTGTATCAATTCCAACTTCAACTCAAAAACTATTTAGACTGACCAAAAAATATTCTCAAACGCCAGAATAAGCACAGAACAAAACAACAAAAAAAAGAACTTTTCAGAAATGTTCCATTTGGATTCTTACAATTATATGTACCTTTGCATCACCAATTGCAAACAAATTTTCTTCAACCTCAACAATATCCATCATTCACTTTCACCGAGGGAAACTATAATTTAATTTTATATTGCCTGAAATGCAAAATTAGAATACAACAAAATCAGCATATCAGGAGAAAACTTCCCATCCAAAACGCGCAAGAACTAATTTTTATTTACAATTTTAATTATACATCTTCAAATTAATCCGCGAATAATGGTATATTATGAATGGAAAACAGAATCACATTCAACAAATTACAAAATATGAAAAACAAAATTTGTATTACCCATCTCCTTAAATATTGCATACCCACCCAAGTTTGGAAATTAAAATTTTGAAACATACATGTATGAGGAACAGTAATCACAACAACAACAACATACAAACTGTCAAAACCGTTTTAAAAAAAACATTGAAATTCAAAAACGAAAACAAGGTATAATTTCTTTATATATATAAAAAAACAAAATTGGCCTGCTCAGCTGAGATCTCTACAAGAACGAAACACGAATTGGGCAAATTGAGGTACGGAAGCTCCGAACAAACAAAACAAAAACCCAAAAACAGAAAAAACACTAAAACACAAGAAAACGCTTTTCCAACCGTTGGAATAAGAACCAAGCCGAATAAACCTAAAGAAATGAAAACATTTTGTGAAAACAGAAACAAAATACTACCTTAAAATGGATGAAAAAAGAATAGGGTTTTAGGAGGTGAGAAGGTACCAGAAATAACAGAATGAGCCAAGGAGGCTTCATTGAAAGGACATTTACAAAGATTAATGAAGGTATAAAGTGAATTAGGGCTTGGATGATCTGTTGGACATCTCATCCCAATTAGGTTTTCGAGTTTGGATCGGCTGTTTTAGATAGCGAATATCACGCAGTGTAGCAAGCGAGATATTAGAGAGAGAAAGTGAGTTTATAGATAAAGAGAGAGGGGGGCGAAAATGGTGAGGGAATATTAAAAATAATATTCAAATGGGACGAATATAAAGTACTAACTGACACTAGTTGTAATTTTTTATTTTATTTTTAAATTATTAATTTCTTCTATCTAATCTTTAAAAAAATTTATTTCATTTTATGTGATTTAATTAGCAATGATTATTTAAATCATTAACGGTTTGAACTTGATTTAATGATAAAAATGTCACTTTAAAATTTGAATACTAGAATCAACACTCATTTTTCTTACTACAATTTTAAACAAATTACACATCATAATTAATTAGTTTGGAATTTAGTTATAAGATTGAAATGATTGTTTCTTTCATAGTATTGAAATTAGCGAGTCGTTATTCTTAGTGGGTGTTTGGAAAGTGAGTTTTTATGTAAGTTTTTTTAGTTGTAGGATATTATTGAAGAAAAAATTTTTGGTGTTTGGGAAATAGTTAGGTTTTTTGTGGTTGGATGTAATGTTTGTGAGAGAAAAAGTGAAATGATTATGGAATTTGATGTAATATTTTGTTTAGATTTATTTTTTTTGATTTTGCAAAAACTTTGTCTTTTAGTGAAAAAAATAAAAAAAAAATAAAAACCCAAAACAAATTGTTGCCAAACACCATCTTACTTTACCTTACTCTAAATATAATTTATTTTTATCTTTACTATACATAACTACATTAATACTCTTAAAATTTTAGTTTTTTCAAAAAGTGTATTTTGTATGAAAATGTATTAATATAACCATGTGTAATAAAGATAAAAAATGAGTATTTTTAAAATAAAATAGAGTGGGAATAGCGCCTCTTTTTTATTTTTGAAAATATGTAAATGTTTAGTGCAAATTTTAGGGGTTGTTTTGGATGTTCTAGATAAGTGTACTTTTTGAATTTTTATAAAATATGAGTTGATTTGAGGTGATGTGATAGAGAGCGGATATGATTTAAATAAGATGATGTGACTTAAATATGATAATAACTTTTAAATTTTTTGACTTTTTTAAAGAATGACAAACAAGACCTTATTTATAATTTATAAAGTAAAAAAAATTAATAAATTATAAAAAAATTATTATTATATTTTTAGATTTAGTATAAAAAAAAAAGAAACTTATTATTAACCGATGGATATGTACTTTTACCTAGCTATAACTTGCCCTAAATATCTTCAAATTATTCTAATTTAAAAATAATTTTTTAACTATAAAATTTAATTTTAACAATCATTAATTTATACAATCATCTTTAATTAAACTATTAAATTGATGATTGAAAAATAAACAAAATTAGGTTAAAATAAAAGTGAAACTTTTTAAGAAATAATTTGATGAATTTGATTTTTTTGGAAGAAAAAAAATAAGCCTAATAATTGGAAGCAATGATTGAAAATTTTCGCCGCTTGGTTTTTGTATTCCCGGTTCGCCGGCCGACAGTTGCCGACCTCTCCCAGATTGTCGGTGAAAGCAGATCTGACATAAACGTTATATGAATGGCCAAAATTAACCCTGTGACTTATCCTAATCTCGGTGAGGCAAAAGCCTCTAATTGGCCACTTTTACCTTGTTTTTAGCATCAAATAAGGGCAATGACTTTCCTTACATATAGTGGTGTTTTAGAAAGTTGGTAAAAAATTGTTCTTTTAATTTTTTTAATCTATTTTATTTTTTAGTAAGTAAAAAATATGAGAGGTAATATGACTCAAAATGAGTAAAAAGTCAAAAACTGACTTTTTACCTCCTTGCCAAAGCACCCCATAGGGTGCGCGATACGATTGGAATAGTCTAAGGGGTTGTTTGGGATGATCTAAATAAGTGTACTTTTTGTCTTTTTACGAAAAGATGTGCAGAAAAGTAGAGAGGTGATGTGATGAAAAAAAGATAAAAAGATGGATTATATAGGGGATGCCAAACTTGGCCTAAGAGTTAAATTATAAATCGAATGGTGGGTTGAAAGATTGGCAAATTACGATTTAAATAATTTTATGTGAATTGAGAGATTAAAAAATATTTTAATTAATTATCAAACATTTGTATAATATATAACATTAATTTGCATAATATTTTTTATATGTATAATACAAATTAATTTTATATAATATTTATATATATAACTATTAATTTGTAATAAATTTCACATATAAAATCTCTCTCACACTCATTTTTACTTTAATATTTCATTCTAGGTTAAAAAAAAAAATATATATATATATATATATATATATGTATTACCTATAGCGGAGCGAAACAGTTTCAAAGACAAATTATAAATTAAAAAATTTAAATCGTAGTTGGTGAATAAAACGGTACAAATTTATGCGAATTGATATAATTTTAATATATTAAGCAATACAAAAATGTTTTGGAACTGTAATAAAGGAGCTCTAATAGCTCTAATGGGGTGTGGATTTCACTGTGATAGTGATGTTTATGTCTTTTTTTTTAGACTTTTCATATCATTAGAGCTCATTGATTTAGAGAGATGTATCATTGCTATTAAGCAATATTTTACACCACCCTACATCCAGTTCTAGCTTCATTCATCCATATCATCTTTTGATGTGTAAACTATGTTTTTACTATTTTTAGACAAACATTGAAAATTGATATTTTTTTTTGTCACTTTCATCTTATAGGAAGAAAATTTTGTTCAGCAATGATAGAGACTACTAAAAGTAGTGCTTTAAAGTAACCACTAATGTATTGAAATTCACTTTTTTTATTAAAAAAAAAAAACAACACTGTGACAGTGGGTGGGACCCACTGTCATATCATTAGTGGTGGCACTAATTAGTACTCTCACTCATTTTCCAATTTTGTTATGAACATATCTTGTTCGCGATTATTCCTCGAGTGTTTATTAAAAATTACAGGTTATTTATGGAAGAAACTACAAATCAATATACCTTGTACTTGTTAAAAAAATAATTATAGATTTATGAAAAAATTATGATTTTAATTATTAATATTTATAAAATTTATTATTGATTTATAATTATTTTTTAAAACTCTCGTTGATTTGATATTTCTCCTTGTTTATACCACCACCTCTTCAATTATTAGCAGATATCATTTTGCTATATTCATCTATACACTCATTCATATTGATTTTATCAATTGTAAAAATCATACAAATATACTTTATTTGAGGTGATTTTAAGGGATGAAAGTGATATATTTTTATAATTGAAAATGTTAAGATATACGATTTCATAAATAAGGAGTAAAATGATATTCAAAAAAGTTAAGAAGCCAGACTTTATATATAGTTTGTATAGTGCAAATTAAATTAATGAAGTGTGTGGGGTTCATGAATGAAATGAATTTGAACGGTTTATTGTTATTTATGGATAAATTTTGAGTTTGTGGACTTGTTGAATGATATTCGCTAATAGTTCCAAAAATCTTAGTGTAATTAATCTAAATTTAAAAGCTGAGTAATATTGGAAATTAAAGCAAGTTCAGAATAACGTGAATTGTTATATCATAAGTACAAATTTGGTTTTTAACTTGTAACTTTAAAAGAAAATTAAATTGCAATTCAATTGAAAGAAGTCAAAATAATTATAAAATTATAAAAGTGCAAGTGAGGTTCCTGCTCCAATATGCAAATAACTCGTACTATAACACAAACTCATTTATGTTTGTATACTTTTGTATTAATTTTCACTTCTTTTCACTAATTTATAATTTTCTGTATAAAAAAATCTTTTTAAAGCAACATTATTTTGTTTGATCAAGCTCATATGAACTTTTTAAGTTTTTTTTAATTAACCTAATAAGGAAAATGACAGATCCATAATGCCCTGAAAGTTTTCTTATTTTAGGTGGAGAGACCTGAACAAACTCTCAATCTTTGTTTATTCTTTTTGCTAGAAGCTTTAAGATTGCACTCATCAACTAACTTTGCTTAGTGCCCCATAATAATAAAGTTGCCTAGTTGAAAAATAAGCAAATTTATGTTGGTGGCCATTTAGGTTGTTTCAAGTGGACATAAGCATATATGCTCTAGCAAAACTATAGCATCAAATGTATAATCAAATGGCAAATCTGATATGGGGACCCACCAAATCCCCACTAAGCATAGTAATTGAATGGTATTGCTTTGCTTGTGCAAACAATCAAGGGTTAATATCCTTATCGTGCTTCTATGTATTTTGTTTATTTAATTTTTGTTGTCATTCGGCTTTTATGGTTAGGAAAGTCAAAAATAAAATAAAATAAAATTTACTAATGTTTGATAATTCAATAATATTAGATTTTGTTAGGAATGATTTTGGAAAAATCAAATTTTTCCTTAACTTTAGTCTATTTTTTAGGACGAACCCATGCGGCAAAGTTGGCGAGTTTAAGTGGTAATGCGTTTTTTATACTGCGTTGTGATTCACGTAATATATTTGGTTGCTCAAAATCATTATCAGTTGAATGGAAAATTGAAGCCAAAGTGAACTCTATGGAAATGAAAATTTTGGTAAAAATTCTTCAAGGTTTAAATTAAAGGCTTGTCCCACATTGGGTTAGTGGAAAAACTTTTATGGGTTTATAAGGCTTGAGTTTGCAACTTGGGGAGGGCCCCAAGTGGCACACCAAGTTTGTAGAATGGAGAGGTTATAGGACAAACGAGCTAGACCCATTGGACCTAAAAATAAACACACATGCACGCGCCACCAGTCGAGCAGGCTGGGGCTGGGCTTGGGCGCGAGTGCGTGGTATGAGATTGGGTTTGTCCGGCCCAATACTAATTCTTTTTTGGCCAAAAATATTTGAATTTAATTTTATTTTTTGGTAAAATAAAATATGTCCAGTTTTAATTTCAAATTTTGATTGGAAAAAATTCAAATTTGTTTGCATATCTTCAGAATTTCGGTACAAGTTCCAAACAGATTTATATCTATTTAAATTTTGTCCGCACAGATTCAAAACCCAAACAGTGCCATATCTGTTAGATTCAAGCTGAACAGGTCTTGTACCTGTTCAAACAGGTTTGGTACCTGTTTAATTCAAACCAAACAGTCACATTTCCATC